GAAATGGTTGTTGTTGGTTCTGAAACGTCCTGAAAAGGATACGCAACTAACTTATTATAGATACTCATACTAAGAGTTTTCCCAGTGTGGGTTTCAGGGCCTCATTACGGGGAAAACAAGTAAAGACCCATTGTTTTCCTAACAAGCATATCACAAGACTCGACTAATTAGGGGTATTTCCTTTGAAGTCGTAGTCCATCTACCTGAGAGGCCAGGAGCCAACAGTCTGCATACAAGCTAGATCTGTGAAACGGATGTGCAGGCAACACTGAAGTTCTGGAACAAGAGTAACGTCCAGAAGTGGACGAATAACCAGAACTTTCCGCTAGAGTTTACAGCCTGTGAACGCGAAGAACAACAACATTCAAAGAGTTAAGAACTCTTATCGCTATCGTATTGTTTATTTTCATGTCTTGTATTTCCCAGAAGGGCATGAGCGTTCAACCAACTTAAACCAAGCCCACTGCATATTTGTTTCTCTTTGGTAGAATTTCCAGGTATTATTTGTTTAGTGAATGGCACACACTCTCCAGACTTCCGTTCCAATAGGGCGAATAGCCAAGGCAGCTCGTTTAGCTTTGAAGTCATCTATGCTTCTGTCAATGGTCTGCTTAACGGAGCTTTCACATATGGACTACGGTCTACGGTTTCGTTGCCTACCTACCGAGTTGATTCCTTGGTGCAGCACTGTGGGCTGTATTTTGCGTGTTAAATGCATTTCGTTTTGTGCCTGCAGGGGTTTTGTCGGGATATCCAAAGAACTGGGTTGCCGGTTTGCGTTTGAGCTGGCCAGATACCTTATGCAATAATTGTGTGTGTGTATGTGTGTTTGTGTGTGTGTGAGAAAGAGAGAGAGAGAGAGAGAGAGAGAGAGAGAGAGAGAGAGAGAGAGAGAGAGAGAGAGAGAGAGAGAGAGAGAGTGTGTGTACGGCTGTCTTGTAACTGACTGAATGCAACAAACGAGGTAAAGGAGAAATCGGTTCTGTCGGCCAGCTACTAAGTTGAGTGCATTGTACAGCACTGTAAGCTATGCATTCAATGGAGAATACTTGTATGTGCTCCCAATGATATGTTTGTTGTTAACAGCGTTTTCAGAAAATGGTTAGTCACCACCGAATTAGTGATGTGCCTTGTAGAGTAATGCATGTGCGCCTGCTGGTTAGCTTGATGTTTGCTTCCATCAATTAGGAAACACATTTGGCTCATGTCTTATGCATTTAATGCTGTTGCCCTTGATTGAACATGTTGTCTTTTTGACTTTTCAAATTACTTGTATTATTTAAATAGTTTTTACTGGCAGACTGGAGCAATGACGGGGTGACCGGTCTGCGACGAAGTTATAACTCTGACTAATAGCCTGAAAGTTAATGACATCATGCGTACTTATACTTTATTCACGTTTTCTAAATATTTCTGTCATTATTTTATCATTTTCCTGGCTACAGTAGGTAAAAACCAAACTCTGCACACCCGCTTGGCAGTATCTGCGGTGAAACCCACACTCTGCAGAGTAAAATTGTAGAGTTAAATCTATAATAGAAATGTGTACTTATTTAACGTTTTCTCTGTATTTTATGTATTTTTGTTCATCTACTTTATTTGCGCTAACTCAGTATTTTGTAAACTATTTTATCCTACCAGGCCACCTCAGCAAGTCGGGTATTTGGTACTAGGAAACTGGGGTGTCATTCCGCCGCAAAAATATGGTAAGTTACAGGTAAAATACAATTTTCCTACCATGAGAAGTATTTGGTATATTTGCTAACTCTCCCGCCTCAAGACGTTTGATATCTTAATGTCTTATTAGCTCGTGGATAGTGGCGATAATGGTTTTCTCTATTGTCTGCCTGTTCAGTGATTATGTGTTCGAATCCTTTTCGTGGATAGTTTTTTTTTTTTTTTTTACTGGCACAGATTCCCAGGAAAACGCCGTCTTAAATGGGTACTGGGAAATGTCATCATCAGAGAAGCATGGGGAGGAACAGTTTGAGATCTATTGCTTGAGTGATAACAATGGCTATTGTCATTCCGTGTCGATGTTGGTTTTCCATGTTATCAATACATTTTTTCGTAGGGCGCCCACCTGCTTTCACACTAGATCTTTACACGGATAACGCTTGTGTTAGTAATCTTGTTTTCTGACTATTTTAACGAGATGACCAAACCATCTGATATTCTGTTTCTCAATGAAAATGGTCCATAGTGTTGTTCTCATAGTCTGTCTGACAGTAGCATTTCTGACTTTCTCTTGAATAGTCGTGATGACAGCTTTTCCCATAGCAAATCACAACAAGTAAAGTTTGAGAAACCCGATTTTTTTAAAAACTTTACATTCATATTTTGACTGTTCTCATGAAGTGATTTGGACACCATAGATTTTTAGTGCAGCATATATGATTCCACTTGTGTGTTTCAGAATTCTACCTAGATTCATTTTGTGAATTCCCACTCAATGATACAGTCTACCCGATCGCCTACAGGACTCACTCACACAATCTCGGTTGGTATTGTTTTATAACAGTCACAGCCAGCCAAGTCAGTGTCATTTTCTTCACATTTTTAGTTTACTTTACTTAGTCGCTCTTCTACCTTGGAGTTAGAGGTTTGCCAGAGAGATCGCCGGATTTCTCTTTCAGCAAATTTGTTTCTGGCTTTGTTCCATTCCAGTCCTCTTTCAGTTAGAGCGGACCCTGGGTCTCAAAATAACCAATTATAATAATTATTATTATCATCACAGTTTTTCTTTTAATGCTGCATTATATGTCAACTCCCCCCTTTTCCGGTCTTTTTTTCCCCCTTTTCGTTTGTTTTCCCCTTTTCTCCCTGTTACCTTTCCCCTCTACAAGCCTAAGTCTTCATCCATAGTTCTAGCTCGTGTCATTTTCTCATCTCTCTCTGTCTCTCTCTCTTTCTCTCTCCATAGCTGTCTGTGTTTCTTTTTTGTTTCTCTCTTTGTATATCTTTTCTCTCCCCCTCCCTCCCCTCCCCCAATCTTTGAGCCTTTCACCATTTTCTTTCTTCTGCAATCGCCACAACTCTCCTCCTAGCAAATACGCAAGGAATGGAAAAATGTTCAGAATTTTGCCTGGCAAGTAAATTTTGGAAAAGCCTTTGCTAACAGGAATTCCAGGAAACCAAAAAAAAAAAAAAAAAAATCAAGAGATCATTTTTAAAATTCCTAATTACCGGGAATTATGTGTGTGTCGTTCAACAACACCGCGCCCGTACAGCCAAGGAGACCAACACCGGTGACACAAAGTGCCAGCCATTCGAACGAGGATCACCAGGACACAAGTTCCAGAAAACCTCGTTTTAACCGTTCAAAGGTTATTTTAGAGCCCCCTACTACAACCGTGGCTGTGCCTTAAAATAACGCAAAATGTCGTCCCACATTGAGGACGGAAACTGATTCCTGAAAATTAGGGTGTCTTGTGAATAATACAAGCTCTAGTAACATTCCGGCCTCGCTCGTTTGTACAGATAGAAATTGTACTCGATGTCACTGGGCGGAGTTGATCAAAGAAGCATTAAACAAGTTAAAGTGACTTATCTTCCTGCTCTTTGCCACACACATCGCTAACGCGCACCAGCAGTAAGACAATAAGGTGTATGAGAAGAAGAAGACGAAATTGGCAAATTGTGACTATTTAATAAATATGTGAAATAAATATTCCTATACTGACCATCGCTCGTGTAAAACAAAACACAGAAATATAAATAAAGAAGATACAAATAAGCAATTTTTTAAAACAATTTCTAACATCATAATTACACCAGTAAGCTACTTTGACATTTATAAAATAAATCAATAAATAAAACTGTGAAATGCAGAAAATGAATGACGGGGTAAATTATAATGCTGAAGAGGCACAAATCAGAAACGATGGCACCAAGAAGCAAGGTGGAGATACGTTTCAGGCATTATGTATGAACAACTAAAAATATTGTTTTGATAATTTGACACGATTATCGCAGGGATAAACACCCACAGGGAGTAGCCGTGGCAGAACGGCTAGACGCGCGCAGCGGATCGGAAGGTCGTGGGTTCGTTTCCTAAAGGAGCCGGACTTTTCTTAAAAAATGACCTAAGCTCTAGGTCGACCCAGCCTTTAGTATGTACCGGGTGCAGTCCCGGGAAATAGTGGCGGCCGGCGTAATGCTGACCACATCACCTTTTCTTGTGCCGTTGGTCTATAAAATATTGGGTCTAGCCCTATATGCCCTATTTACGCCTAAAGGCGTGGAAAAGAGTCCTTTACTTTATTTTTTACTTAAACACCCACAAGAACTTTAACGCTTAAACGTACACTGAGATCAATCACCAAACGATTTATTAGCGGATTATTGAGGTTATACATACCGCAATAAAAGCGCATTGAAAGTCTCGCCAAATATATTTTGCAAACTATTTCCGTCGCAGCTAGAATAATGAGTTAAAATAATAACAATATAGAACAGAATGAAGAAGTCGCTGTCTCGTATATGTTTTATGTAACAAATATCTGTGCTGATTTGGAGTAATAAAAACAAAGGTAAAGGTGAATTGTTGGTACAGAGTTCAAACTTAAATAGAGAGTTTTAGTTGAAGCTGAAAAGAAACAACAGAAGTCGGAAAATCAGCAACAGCAGCAATATTTTTCTTAGCATGTACCTGCTATAAAACTCCAGAGGCAAATTTTGGTTGTTTGTCCACATTTGAACTTTAGTCTCGTCCTATAATGTGAGTTTTTCCTGCACTCGAATTTTTACTGATCTTGTTAACTTGTAGACAGATTGTTGGTTCCTATCATATCAGGTAGAGGCATCCCGATTTCCTAGTCAAACCCCTTAATTAATAGCCTTTTAGGACATGCTTGTCAGTGCAGTGGTGCTATTCTTTTACCCCTGCTCGCGTCCACCCTCTCCCAACAAATAGGGCACCAGAAACCCACAAGATGACAACATAAATTATTTCAAAGTTGCGACTCATATTACAGTATACTAATGGTTCGTAAAATAGAAACATGTAGTGGACCACTGAAAGGGGGGGGGGGGGGGGGGGGATCTGTGGAAGGAAAGATAGAGGAAGACAACGAGAGAAGATGCTTGACAGTCTTGTTGCATGGCATGGAGGTGTGTCTGCACCAAAACGGATACATGATTCAGGAAGATCGCAGATTATGGAGAGGCATGATCGCCCACGCCAGTCGCCAAGGCACCTGATGATGATGATGATGAATGTTAGTACATTTCCCCCGGGTCAGTCCCGTTTTCTGTGGTTATGGCCGTTCCGTTGGTACTTCCGTGAAAACGTCGATAGTCCCGCTCTATAAAAAAACCTAGGAGAAAAGTTTGAGAATAAAACATTCACTTATTGTTGTATACCGTATTAGATTACATAGTCTTGGATACTTTTAATGCGTTTAAAAATTGCTAGATACTGAGGGAAAACAATAGATTTAAAATTAGGCATGCTGTCTAACATAAAGAAAAAGTTAAACAGGACAACGTACACATATACAAACTAAAAGGGAAAATATTTAACTACGTGAGTGAAACCAATGATAATGCAATCCCACTAAATAAATGGTTAAATACTGGATAATATACACATTTAAAAACTGAAAAGCAAACTATAAGATCTAGACACTACCTTCGTACGTCTGGGAGCTCTTCATCTGAGAAATCGAGTATTAGTGAGATGTCCCGAGATTAGTGATATGTTTTCAGCTCCAAAATAGTTAGTGCATGTCCTATTTTCAGCTCAAAATATTAGTTTTGCATGTCCCGTTTTAGCTGAAAATATTATGGTCCCCTAACCAATGTCCTCTCTGTTTTATGTTGTGCAGGTGTTGTTACCAGCGGCTACAGAATCCGTGCTGGTCTGTGGGTGGAGATTGGACGAAATTTCCTCAGCTTCCACAGGTCAGTTTTCCCTTATTGTTGAGTTCTAAAGTGTCACATGGTTGTAGGATGGCAAATGTCATCATCATCAGCATTATTATTATTATTATCATCATCATCATCATCATTCCCACTACAAGCACCATCATCATAATCATCATCGTCATTACCACTACCACCATCATCAATATCGTCATCACCACTACCACCATCATCATCATCATCCCCATCCCCACTACCACCATCATCATCAGCCCCCGACGTATTTCATCGGGAACCGCTGTGGTGTAGCAGCTAGATCGCAGAATCGTGGTTCAAGTCCTGACGAAAACCAAACGTTTTATTTTGTTGTTTCAAATTTGGCCGCTCCCATGTTGCGACGCCAGTCCCTTAAATGGGTTATCAAGTAGAGTCCTGGAAGTAAAGGCGGCTGGTATAATACCGACTACGTCACATACGAATGCCGCATTAGTCCTATAAAATACAGGGTCTAGCTTCTATCACACAACACGCCTGAAGGCTAGTAAGGCGTCCATTTTTACCCCCCCCCGTTACTTTGTGTTACGTATTACCTAGCGGCGTCCGTGGCTAAGGCGTTGGCGAGTCCGAGATCGTTAAGCCAGCATACCGCGGATTGAAAAATCCACTGCAGGCTTGCGTGGATTTTTGTCGTGGTATGGGGACGTCGCATGGTCGACCCAGCCCAAAACGGGTACCAGGATGGGGCTGTCCCTGGGAAATTAAATGACAGCCAGCGTAATGCTGAAAACTTACCCAAGAGTGGCGTGATGGTCTATGAAAAGTAATGGGACGCTCTGGCCATATGACCGAATGCGCCGAAGGTCGTAAAAAGGGTACGTTACTTTTTACTTACTCCAAGGCGCATTACGTTCTATTTACATAAAAATAAACAAAACATTTTGTTGGAAATACCAACGAGCAAATCCAAATCCTACGCCAGGTCCGATGTGTTTCTGCTGAACCATTATTTGTATATTGAATATTGCGCATTCAGTAAAGATTTTTTTTTCCTCGGCCAATTCCCTCCCCCGTAAGGGTAGTCTGTATTGGTCTTTTTTTAAAAAAGGTATTTCTTTTCAGCGCTAGCTATAACACAGACTTTTGGGTTTTTTTTGAGTGTCAGGCACAATTATTATAAAAACAAATGCATGCTCTAACAATGTTGAAGCTAACTCCTCGCTTTTTTTTTTCATCTTTGGGAGAAACGAATAGAGAATGCAACAAGGACTGAGCATGAGATGATATAATATAGTACCAAGTCGTGAGAAAAGTCTCTATACCATCATTACCTGCTACCTATTCGAGGCTGAGACAATCCTGACGTCCTTAAAATGAAAGCTCAGTCTTTCATAGATTCATGCGCCAGCGTTAAACCAAAAAAGTATCAACCACAACCATCAGGAGCAACATAAAACAACAAAAAGCACTGTCTACCTGGAAAACCCATAAGACGCAACGAATTCAATGCATTCGATACCCATTGGTCTGAGAACATAATACTGACAATCAGGAAACTGAAGAAATAATAAAAAATATCTGGGCTAAACTCTAGTATTAACAGACATAGAACAGAGAGATGGCGCTATGTGGACACCT